GGGAGCGCTAGTTTGGGATTATTCCCTCATCCGGATTACCCACATGGAGAGCCATATCTGCGTTCCACAAAGTCGCGCCTGCCAGCGATAGGCGCTTGACGCACTCTTCTACATGTGTCAAAGCGGCGATAATATCTCCGGTCTGCTGGAGTTCTAGTCGGCTGAGGGGGAAAACGCCGCGTCGTTTCGCATGGAATCGTCGCAGGGCGTACTCGTTGACAATGAACTTACGCAACATTCTCAATGTACTGTTCCACCGTATTCTCATGTCCATAACGATCTTCGGAGGAGCCGAGTTTGGAGTCGCTAGCGAGAGTAGTTCGTCGTTCAATGTTGGGCTTAGGGCGAAGCTCCGGCACTCGCGGCGAATTTTCGCTACCAAACTGCTCGCGAACATAGGGCTTCGGGAAGCTTCCGCAGGTAATCCGCCGGCTGATTCTTCCTCGGCATCATTTTCATCGTCTGAAGTATCGTAGAGTTCATTGGGAAATATCTCGAAACTGGGAAAGAGCTTTCAAGCGATCCTGATCGATGCTGATTTGCATTCAGTACTCATTTTGACCTGAGTGTCTTCCCTCGTCGTCTTCGTTTATGCCTACAAGCTGAAGTTGGTTGCTGTCTTCGTCAAGCATCGGAGCCCCGTGGAGTCCGAGGTTTTGAATGTGTCCAGAACAGCCAAGTGTAGTCCGTGAGCAAGACAGAGCTGATGATAGGAGGGCTTGGGTGAGACAGCCCTCTTCAGTGTCTGTCCGAGTTTTCGCATGACTGAGGCTGCGTCTGTTGTGATGCCCTTTATATCACTCAGCTGTAGACTTAGATTCTACAGGGAGTTCACCAGAAAGGTTTCCAGATTTTTCGCATTGGCACGAGTGCTGAATCTCGACAGGAATACGACAGATCTTCCGGAACTCGGAATGGGGTGCGAGCAGTGAAGAGTTATCTCTAGACACGGTGACAAGCTTTAGGAAGGGTCGATACCGGACATGGAGCTCCGCAAGGCGAGAATCTTACCAAGGAAGCGCCTGCGCTGCCAAGACCATTCATCAGCAGTCAAGGTGAATTCCGTTCGCTTCGTCTTGAGATCGGTCAAAACCTCTTTGAGTCGATTCTTCACACCGCTACAAAAAAATGGGTATTTTTTCATGGGCTTTTACATGCTCTATCGAAGTGTCCGCAAGTGGTGCATGTAAGTCTCCAACGCTCTCCATCCGTTCCGCGGACTCACTCGAATTTCCCGTCGGTGAAGCGTCGGGCCAGAGCGGCATTAATCGGTCCAAGTCGAGCGAGCCAGAAGAGTACGCCCATGATGCCCGAGCTGAAGGCTCGACATGATATGTTCAAGATGTTATCATGCAGGCTACAAGCCAAGATTTGATCCCCTCTCTGTCAGATATTTCTCCCAGCCTGGAGTGCTTCCGAAGATTAGCCTTGAAGCCTGTCGTGCTCTGCTTGGCCGATGTGATTTCGACACCACAAAGTTTGCATTTCAGAATATCAGCTTCCGAAGTTGAATCGAAGGCATCCCGAATCGGGCCTGAAGTGTGATGGTATGGTAGAAGGGTCTACCGCATTCCATCTATTCACTCAAATCCTGATCGACGATTGATCTCACCTCGTTTTCTTGAACGGCGAGCTTGAGGTAGTCGCGGCGCGGAACCATTTGAAATCGATGATGAGGTCGAACTGCTCTCTGACTGCGATACACACTCTTCACAATGAGCATCCCCTACAGAAAGTAGGTAGTTCTTTCTATTTCGCCGGATCCTCTTGGAGGCGATGTTAACAAGCAAGAGACCCTTATCAAAGACCTCACGCAATCGCCACGATCGAGCACCCAAGCATCCAAGACCTGGCGGCTGAAGATCGACCGTCATCAAAAGCGGGAACGCCAAGCGATAACCCAGCCCAACAACCCCAAGGGGTCGGTTCGGTCACCCAGAATCAAAACTCAGCTCGGAACTCCCACTCATATCAAGCGGCAGGTTTCGAATACCTCAGAGCTAGAATTGAATTCTTCATTCGGAAGCTGAGACATTCTTCGAAGAGGACGCCAGTCTCAGAGATTCTCTAGATCAAACAGAAAGTCTCAAGGAGACCCTCACTGAGTTGCTATCCCTATGGACATCAGCGGCCGAAATCCGAATTTCCTCGACCATCGACAACAGAACTGAACTCATCAGGGAGTGCGTGGAAGTCGAGAGCAAATTCAGAAGATCAATCAGCTATCTCAACCGTGCTCCATCCGCAGTCGGGAACAGAGACAATCCGGTCACACCCAGCGCCCAAGTATCATCGCTGCAACATAACCCATCAAATGCAGCTCAGCCATGGCGAACCTCAACCAAACTGGACGGTCAGGTTCGAAGAGCGCCTCAAACAGGACAGAGTGCGCCGTTCTCAGAGACTCCGCATCTGTCTCACATCGCACAACTGCCCCCACCGGAACAAACCCCTAGTATGGGTGATTTGGACAATATTCCCCAGGCCCCAAGCACGTCAACCCCGCGTCCACAAGAGGCAATCAGGGAGAGTAGCTCTCTGTCGGAAGACCCCAGCAATTACCTTCCAAGTCTCTCAAAGAGCTTCAAACTGCCTAAATTCAATGGAGACGCCAAGGACTTCCGAAAATTCATGGACATCTTCGACACCTTCGTTCATGAACGGAATATTCCGGACCTCCAGAAGATTCTCCTCCTCCACGAAGCCCTCAGTGGCAAGGCCTAAAACAGTGTGAAACACCTCAGGGTCAGAGCAGAAAACTACCTGCCCATGGAACAACTCCTGGAAAAGCTCTTCGGCCAGAAAAACATGGCAGGGGACAGTCATCTAAGGGAGCTGGACCGTATCCTGTCATCCGGAGGGGACATCAAAACCGATGAGTTACCCGCCTTTGTCAATTCGATCTCCCAGCACATCCTAGCTCTCATTGCGAGTGGTCACTCATACGCAACACTAACAGCGGCATTCGCCAACAGAATACTAGCCAGACCGTCATTCACAACGCAACATAAGTTCGTGGACACGTTCAGAACATCCTCAACACCCGAGTGCAAGCTCGATGCGCTCATCTCTTTTCTCCAAACAGAGGCCCTTCCATCGAGTCGCTCGGGGCGGACCTACCGAGCAGATCTGGCTACTCGGAACCCTCAACCCGCTCCGATCGGGACCAAAGTCCTCGTTTACATTTCGGTCGACCCCAACCTCCCAAGCTATATGGATCCCAAAATCGCCACCGAAACTACCCAGAAAAGTCGTCGTTCAAGAATACGTTGAACAACTTCCACATAACGGCTTCCACAGAGAAAACACCCTTCCGTCCGGTACCCCCAGCACCTCGCAGAATATAAACGGTGCCCTGCGAGGCAGATCACCCTCCATTCAGATGTCCAGCCCAACGCACATTACAAGAACGACTGGACAGGGTAAAAGCCGCAGGAGCGTGCATGAGGTGCCTAAAACTAAATCATCTAGCAAAGAATTGCCGAGTAGGACCAAAAATCAACTGCAGGTACTGCAACCTCAAGCATTACGCGATACTGTGCAGCAAAGCACCAATCAACGTCAACGTACCCGCAACAAAGAACACCTCGGTGAACATCGCAACCGAAACCGGGAGGGACCCCACCTTTCTTTGGACGGCACACGTCAAAGCGGAAAGCAAATCCGCCAGCAAAATATGCCGGATCCTGATCAACCCAGGGTCGGAGTCGTTTGGCTCCGTCCGAACCTTGATACGCCATCGACTCTGTTCGTTCCACTTTCCTAGATCTTCGCCGAAAATCCCACCGCTGCAAATGTGGGAACTATCTTCCTGGGATACGGCGAATGAAGACCTTGGTATTAACGAACCAACGATAGCCACCTCTAGTTTATTAGCCACACACAGGGACCGCCACAGCCGTCATATAGTCGCTGTGCGACCGTCCTCTCTAACTACTCGTCACACACTGTTACATCATTCACCCCAACATCCATCTAACACCTCACACGTCCGTCTAACACCTCGAACGTCAAACGTCCTACACCTCCGTGTGACCACGACATAAGGGTATTGGAAGTACGGCAGAATACAGCTGCTGTCAGGTTTTCATTTCGGCGAATGCAAAGTGGTCCGGAGATCGAGGATTTCGAGTTTCTCTCGACCCCGTCTCAACTTACCTTGCCAATCATGGCGAAGAATACAACAAGAGGATCTGGTACAAAATTCCATAAATTACAAAATGTGCGACTCGCGGATGACGGTCGGAACTGGCTCTCTTGGCGGACGTCGATTATCGCGGTTCTACAGAGTATTCCTAATGCATTTATGGCTGCTAAGGGGGAACTGCCCTTCAATGACCCTCTTTTTGAGGCCGCAAATGCGTCGGCCAAAGCCAATATTCTCAACACGATTTCCCAAACTCTCGTATCTGCCTATTTCAGCATCGATGCGGAATCGGTGACTGCTAATGATATTATAGGATCGTTGATGGGACATCTCCAAACATAGGTGCTCTTATTTACGAAAAACGCGCGCTCCATCGGCCGCCGCCAAGAAGCGAGGGCACATGGAAAGAATGGTAGAGGAACCTCAGGGAGCAGAATCCGCGCGCGTGGAAACGCTTCCTTGCGTTCTGTCTGTCAGCGTATACGGTCGCTTCTCAGCGTTAGCCGGTGCGGACAAAAATAAAAGGCCAGCGAGCAAGTTTAAAAACGACTGTTGGCTCATCCCTACATTTGGTGGAGATAGCGGTGCCGACCCCATACCGCAATGAAGAGAACCCCGCCAGTGTTGAGGAGCAGAAGAGGCTCTCTGTTTGTATGGGATTCGAATAATGCGCGTTCGCACGCCAGAGCCCTCTAGCAGCACTAGCCAGAGACAATAAAACAGTTGACTACAACTCATTGTGGAGCACGCATCGTCTATTCCTTGGATAGGGATCTACAGGAATAGTTAGGAACATCGACTAAGAAACTGGTGTCAGAATAGTGCGAACATCAAGAAGTGACTCAAGGATAGGATGGCGAAGAGCACGAATCCGGGTACGCTACCCTTGCCGACCCCGTTGCCGCTTTTCCCACCCAACAGGAGAAAGAAGTGGCTGGAATTCAGAGAGGACTTTTACGATTACGCGCTCTCGAACGGCATCTTCGGACAGACTCCTGAGGTGCAGCTATCACACTTCAGAACAGCTCTAGGACCCCAGTGCAAGAGTAAATTGCGAGCGCTTAAAGTCACGGTAGCGAACAACTCGGTCGACGTCATCAAATTGGCGGCGGAGTCAAATATCCCCAGTCCTCTTCTGGAATCGACTGTCAAGGCATGGGAGAAGGAATACTGTGGCAAACAGAACGTTTTGGTCGTACGCGAAAAATTCTACGCGTGCAATCAAGGAAGTATTGACTTCGAACGTTTCCTCGAGAAGGTGTGCGAACTGGCGGAAGATTGTGAATTCCCAACGGAGGTCAAAGATGAGATGATTCGCGATCGATTGGTGCTCGGATTGGATAGTGATCGCTTGAAGGATCGAGTGATTCAGAATGATAAGAATGACCTTCGGTCGGTCATCGAGGTGTTAAGGAGATCCTCGCGATCGTTGCCAATGATTTCGACTACGGCGGAGATCAGTGGCGCGGTGAAAGAGGAGGCAGTGCACAAAGTGAGGGGAGAGAGGGCCTCTAGACAGTCAGCTGGCCAGAGCAAAACAGAAGGTGGAAAATGCCAGTTCTGTCAATATGTGCATCGCCCCGGACAAGTTTGCCCAGCCAAAGATCGTAAGTGCGCGAAGTGTAACAAATTCGGACACTTCGCAAAGGCGTGCAGGCAATCGAATAGAGTGAACTTCATACACGACGAGGGGGAAACGAGCACTGACTACGAGAGTGACGAAAACGAAGCTTTTGCTGTGATGCCCGAGCAAGGGATAAGGAAGAAGAAAAAACGAGTGTTTGGAAACCTGACACTGAGGTATCAAGGCCGTGATCGGATTGTCAGGCTACAGATTGACTCAGGGGCAACAGTAAACCTACTTCCTCTGCAGATGTACAAACAGCTCAGAGCTCAAGGCGCAATTGCGCCCATGAAGAAATCGTCGATGAATCTACGTATGTACAACGGAGACTACTCAAGGGCTGTCGGCGAGGTTTCGGCGGTTCTCTTCAATAACTCGAGGTCGATAGAAGTCACCTTCCAGATTGTGGATTTACCAGAACAACCACTGTTGGGCGCAAGTGAGTCTCTGGCTCTGGGGTGCATCAAGATGGGAGACAATGTGGAGTTCGTGAATTTGGTGACACCCATGGAGCAAGAAAATCAGCTGGAAAACTTACTGAGAGAATACGACGACGTTTTCAAAGGGGTCGGTCGTCTGCCAGGCAAGGTAAAGATCCAGCTGAAAGACGATGTGGTGCCGGTACAATGCCCTCCCCGAAGGACACCGGTCGCTTTGAAACCACAGATCATCGAACGAGTGAGGCAACTCGAAGC